TATAGTCGGCGAAAAAAGTTGTCGAGCGTGGAGTATACAATAACTATGCAACGTATAGTCGCACGGGCGTACAGAATGCATGTTTAGTGAAGCATATAAAAAAAAGTAATACGAACTCCCCCCCCCCTTTCGCACTAATAAAAAATCAAACTATCATTTGATAAATTTGCCACACAATACGCCCCCCCCTCCCCAGAGCCAAAAGTACGCCCCCCGTGGGTTTTTGAACCCAACGAGTGCTGCTACCCTGTCTATCAGAGCCTCTTCGTGCTTTACAGGAGTTGTCAGGTTTACCCATGGCGTCTAGATGTGCTTGCTAAAGATTGCACAAGAATTGACAGGTTTGACCTGGTGACACTTGTAAACAGGATCTAGTGAAGCAGCCGAAGTACAATATGCCCTCCCGGTTGCCGAACCTCGCAGGCTTGCCCATAGCAAACAACCAGCTAATTTTTTTATACATTAGCACGAACTTGTGGAAAATCAAAGAACACCCTGTCAAAAAAAAGATGTATGGTGTTTACACGCACTGTACGACTTGATAGGTTCAACTCAAAAAAAGTCCTCTGCCTTGTTTCTGACGAATCGAGCCGAACAGCCAATAACAGCGACGCCTAGAGAAAAAAGTGGTGCAGTTCAAACGCCATGTAACGTACACGGTGACCAAAAAGTTATGGCAATTTTTCGAAATATTTCGGGGGCATAAAAATACCGTTCGAAAAAGGAAATCAGCCAACTAAAGGTCTGGGAGCTTTCATCTAATTAGTAACAATGACCGCATACAACAAATTTCCAACAAATGTTCAAAAATGCCTCCTTCAGCCTCAACACATTTATGCAGTCGTTTTCCAAAGTTCCGACAATGGTCGCGCATTCTTCTTCTGTAATTTCGCCCCAAACACGCAGCAACGCCACTTTCAGGTGGTAAACGGTCGCGCATCGAATTCCTGAGACTTTTTGCCCCAGATGGAATAATCCATGGGGTCCGGACCATGCTAGTAGGAAGGCCAAACGTCCTTGCCCCAAATTCGGGGAACAGCTCTTCACGAGCGGCAGTTCGTGGATTTGGCAGGATGCGCTGGCTCCCAGTCTTGCTGAAGCACATGTCTATCCGGACAGAAGTGCTTCGACACCCATCACTTCAGTACATCGTGGAGAACGCGTTGTTCGGAGTTGACAGCATTGATCTTCACGATGCACTCGATAAAGAAAGGAGAGGTCTTCCCGGTGGCAGAGATCCCGCCTCATAATGTGACTGAGGCTGGAAAGAGTCTGAGTCCGACATATTTCACAGCCGTTGCCTTCTGCTGAACTTTATTGAGGAGTAGACAACGTGGCGAGCACATTCCTCAAGCAGCAAGCACCCACCAGAAGATGCGTTTCAACAACTGTGACTTTTTGATTTTTTCGAGATATTGTGAGAAGATATCGAAAATGATTGGATAGATGCTTCATACGGTAGTTCGAAATGGCTTGCGGAATACAGATAACCCCTCGGAGAGAAAACGGACCATAATGGCCATTCAAATGCACAAATACGAAATTGCCAGAACTTTCTGGTCATCCTCTATATTACAGCGAAACAAGAGGCCGGGGGAAAAGGTGAATCCATTCTCAGAGAGGCTGCTGAAGCAATAGACATTCATTTACCATCCTTTGGCTTTTTTTGCGTGCTGTAGTGCACAGAAACAGCTAGTACAAAGCTTTTTTTTACCCTATCGTGGCCTTTTTTGTTGAGATAGCTCTCCAAACAATTTCCCAGGAACTTACACCAAAAAAGTTTGCCGTCGAGAGGGTGATACGCAGCACTAGTGAAACGGCAAAGACCTCAAAAGTTAGCAGTCAAAAATTTTTTGCTACGCAGATAATTTCTTCCAAAAGTAGATACGTCTCCCGCCTTCTCGCAATAGTGAGGGTAGCATCCGTGACAGGAGTAATCAACTATCAACTCTTCGAGCAAATACGAGCCCCCTCCATCCAGCAACCAAGTACGACCCTCCCCGCTGGGGCTTCTTCAACGTGCGACGTGCCAAGGTGGGGGTACGCTAGGCTTGCCGCAGAAGCCGTTGAGCTGACTGTGAGGGGCAAGGAAAAATCCCGTGTGGAGACCCGGAACCGCCTCTCGTCTTAGATGAATGAGGTGCGGGTCCAAGTTCTTGCTTAGCTTAAAATCTCCACCCATGACTCAACATTCTTGTACTGATCTAAAAGACCACTCGTTTAGCTGCTCAGCGCACCGCGACCAGTGAAAGCATTTGTTGATGGCAATTTTCCCGGAGAAGTATTCGACCTATTCGATAAATACGCTATTTAGTCAAGCAAATAGCTGATCATTCATCAGTTTCGGTCAGTCAGTTTGATGACGGTATTGCCGGCGGAGGGGGGGGGGGCATTTTGCACTTTTGCTTATCTAGGCAGGCTCTTCTCGAGTTGACATGTTTTACCATGACGACTAGATGAGCTTCCTCAGCTTCACAAGAGTTCTCAGGTTTAGCCAGAGTGAGACTTATAAACCGGAATTAGGGAAGCAGATAAACCGGAACTAGGCAAGCGGTGATAGTAGAAAATGTCCTCCCCCTCGTCGTCAACAGCTCCATTTCAGTTTTCTTACAGTTTTGGCCCGATAGTCCAGTTTACCTTCTAGTGTAATCATCACACCACAGTGATCGGAGAGCATGAGTTTTTTCTGTGAACGACGATATTGTTGATACTCGAATGATCAGAAATCTATTGACGGTTCTCCAGGGAAAAAAACACATAATGGGGTATAAATGTGTGCCATAGCGAGGTGAACGTGCACAGCTGTAGGAGCGTGCGACAGCGGTTGCCAAAGCATCGAAAGGTGCCAAAAACGTCCGTCTGCGTCACAGGGTTTCGTTACAGGATCGCCACGAAAAGTTCTAGATGACGTAACCGAGCGTCGTGACATCTAGAACTTTTCGTGGCGATACTGTAACGGCCGGTACCCCTGTCTGTTGATAACTATGAAGTGTCCCTTGGAATGCTCATATTGGTAGAGGTGTATTTGATAGAAGCCAGGCAAAAAGTCTCCGATTTAATTTAGAAAATTCGAAATTCTCAGTATGCGAGTCCCCTATGTTTCAGCTTGAAAGGCACCTTCGTCTGTTGGTAACCATGAAATGTCCCTTGGAATACTTATATTGGTAGCGGTGCATCTGGTATAGGCCAAGCAAAAGTCTGTTCAACCGAATAAACTTCCAAAATTCGAACTTCCTATGTTTAGGCCTGGAAAGCACCCCTGTCTGTGCGTGCCTCTTTCCTCACACGAAAGTGGGAGGAAATGACGCTGGATTTATTATATGATGGACGACTGAGTCCATCATAAGCTACACCCACAGGCAAAACACGCAATCGAAAGCGTTTGGGATTCTCTACATTTAGCCGTTCATATCCCTTCCTATGTACGCCAAAAACCTTGAAAATATTTGATCCATTCTCTCAGCACTTCTCGAGATAAGAACCAATGGCTGTGGTCGAGGTTGCGTTTTCCAGTCTCCTCATCTATTGAGCAGAGACCTACAGCATGAATGCACCACGACTAGAAAAGTATGGATATTGAGCTGGCCTCTATTATCGTTCACCGGCGTTCGCTTGCGACCAAGTGTCTCAAGACGCTAGGAAAACACATATATCGGTCCAGCGTCTACCAGCTTCTACCCGCGACAACCAGCGACCAGAAATACAGCATTGTGTAATAGTGCGGTGCGGTCGCACACGCCACAATTTCATGACGCCTAGTCTGGCTATCTCCTCCCTCCTACTTCTAGATACTCTTTACACCTGGTCGCTGGTGGACGCTGGCAGACGCTGCCGCAAAGTTTGAACGATCTCACTTGTTGAGCTCGTGATAAATACTTTCGTTTTGCCAGGATTCGTCTGCAGAACCTTGCGTTAGCCTTTCTCATTCGTGCCTCTTATCAAGATTATACCGTGTCCTTCGTTATGTTTCATCATCACTTTATATGATCAACACATTCGTAACTATTAGGTTGTCCGGAAAGGAATGCGCGTTGAATTTTTTGAACTTGTCCATTTTTTTCTCTCCTACTATAGAAGATTTTTGGAGACAGTTTTGTCTATTAGAAAGAGATTTTTATTGTGCTTCTTTTGATATATTTTTGTCCATGTCTACTTTGCTTTTTTTGGGGAAAAAAAGTTGGGAAGAGCGGGTGCCGCACCAGCTGAGCGACGCAAACAAGGCAACAAGTGGCAATGGCCGGAATTCTTCTTCGTCGCTCCAAGAACAGCTGTTTTCCGACTCTATTATTACATTCAAATGGAGAAAAGGGTCTGCTTCGATAACGCAACGAAAAAGGACAGTGGTTAGACTCCAGTGACCCTCCAAAACGGACTCCAAGACCTGATATACGCGGCAAAAAGGTGATGGTCCGTGTTTGGTGGAATAGCAAAGGTTTGATGTACTTTGAAGTTCCGGGATCGGGTCAGAAGGTTACGGCGGACATCTGCAAACACCAGTTGAACCGCATGGATCCAGCACTGCGTCTTCAAAGTGTCGAAACGACGTCGACAAAATTTATCCACGACAACGCTCATCCACATGTGGCGAAAATCACTCTAGAAAAAAATTGAGGAATTGGGCTGGAAAGTCCTGCCTTATCCGCCACACATATCAGACCTGGCACCATCGATTATCATCTGTTCCGGTCGATGCAAAACTCCCTGGCCGAAAGGAAATTTACAAACCGCGAAAAAGGTCCAACTCCGGGTGTCCAACTTCTTTGAGTCGCAGCCGGTCGAGTTCTTCAGAAGAGGAATCCATTTTTTGCATAAATGTTGACAACAAGACATTGATACTAATGGAGATTGTCTTTTGAATTTATCTTGTTTAATTTCGTTTTTATAATAAAAAAATTTTTAAGCTCGAACGCGCATTCCTTTCCGGACAACCTAATAATATCACGCTGATCATCAAAGTGTTCGCGGATTTGCATCCAAAAAATTTACGCTATTTCTTCTACATGCTCACACCAAACGAAACAATCTACGAAAATGTGGATGATATACCGAATTTTTTCATGGATTCAGTAAGTTTCTAATATACATCCCAGTTAGTAGTGTGGCGTTACATTTGAGTCACAGCGAGTGTGACGAGTCGCAGCGAGTCGACTGCAAACGTTTGCACCTTCACCTTCTCCGACACAAAATCTAGATTATGTGACAAGAGAATCGTAATTCGCCGCGCTGGTGGGCGTCGCGTGCGACGTCGCGTCCGCAAATGACGATGGCTCTAGGCAGAAGATAGCGACGACAGGCAATTCAGAACAGAAAATACACATGAATGTCTATGAAGACGGGGTCCGCATGAAGTCCAGTGCTCCTGTGGACAGATTACCACGAGTCAGGAAACGCCGCGTCCATCGTCGCGTACGGCGAAGCGGCAAATTACGATTCCCCCGTCTCCCCAAAATCCATACCGGCAAGATGGTTTACCAGTTGAAGTTGAAGACTCCGCTGTGATGTGAAAAATCCAGGCAATGTCGTGGGCCATCGCCTTGATTTTGTTAGAGTATTTAATGACCGACAAGAAGAACTACGCCTTGAACGGATACAAGTCACCTCGGTAAATGCCGGACTCTTGTCTAACCTCTTATTGAAGTGAGTTTTTTGATTGATCTTCAAATACAATGCTTTCTAAAATTGACGCTAGACTTTCTCCCATTCTTCGCTCTTTCGTCTTCGTTGAAAACTTTTTTAAGCTCCAAAGACGGCGGAAAAGCTCGAACGTAAGCCGGAGGCGAACAAAGAAGTCTTCATCGCTGCGGATGATGGCGTGGGTCAATAAGGCCAGATTTTTCGCGCCACGCCCGTTCTATGGTCTCGTCGCTTGCGGCACGAAGAAAGTAAAAGAAATGGGCTGGCACTGGTCCAAGCACATCGACCCTGCTGTGCACCATCATCAGTGGCGAACAAGTTTGTGTGGCAGTCGACAGACTCTACTCATACTATTCACATTTCTAGAGCGCTTATACCTTCCTATCACATCCTTACGGAATTGTTTGTGACGGTCCGCCTACTTGTACCAACTTCTCTCTGATATTCATCTCCCCCTCCATACCCATTTCTCTGTGAAATATTTTCTAGATACTTCCCTCTTCTCATTTGTCCTTTTTCAGCTCTCTTCCCAGAATTTTTCACCTTCTCCCAGACCTTCATCCTATTCTCAGCGCCAAGCTAATTAGCTTTACAATGTTCTGGCACAGAATTCTTCGCTTACTTCTTGTACGAAATCAATGTTATATCCGCAACGTTCAGGCTCTGCATAGATAATGACATGAGGAACTATCGGTGTCGAAACGATCCCCTCCCCCTAAAACAGGATGTCCTCAGCATGCTTCCCTTACTGGTGCCATCCAAACATCCGTGTATCCTATAGGTTTCCGCGTACACTTTCGAAGCAGAACGGCGTAGGTGCGGAAGTATCATCGAGGAGAGCGCTAGGTGGCACCCTGCCAATGAGTATAGCAGCTTCTTGGCACGTGCAAAAGATGGTCGTCGCAGTGTGTACCTCATTCTGCAGCACACAGTCAGGATCCCTGCAAGCGATAGGGCGTGTGAACGGGTTTGGATTGCAGCGCTGCCAAGGCCGCCTTCTCATCAATCCTCGATCGAGCATACAACGACTGGCAGGAAGGCCTATTTTACCTGCGATCCAGCCCACGCCCCTTGCATGCCCTTTTTTCTGTAAAGATCATAGCTATACATCCGAATGACTGCTCTTGAAACATCTTTTACCACAACCGAGAAAAGTTGTGAGTGAATGCGTGATTCCCATGGGATCTCTGTTATTACTATTCTCGTTGCAAGCCTGAATCAGGCAGGTCAGTCACAACTGAGGCTTCTAATGAAATGCTCGTTTACCTTTCCACTGTTGGTCTAGACACTATCAAGCAAATCCCAATACAATTCAGATTTGGTAAACATTATGTTGCGGCTGCATGATATCCTATGCTGTACAGTGCAGTGCATATCATAGACCTTCCAAAGGTTTCGATTTCTACATGGATACTCTGCTTCTGCACGCAAGATCTCGCTATTTATCTCGGTCATCGTGCATCACACGGTAAGCTGATAGGAGAAAATCGATGGCGGAGTACTGTCCGTATGTAGTTATTGACATAAAAAATTCAGAAGAATCTGTCCTGCGGTTTTGCAGCAAGTGTGTCAATCGACGTCTGATATATGCAGTCTCGAGATCACACATTGGTTGGTTGAGGTAAAAAGCAAAAAAGGGGTGGCGGAGGGGCGTTTTGCCAGCGGAGGATGGAATGGCACTGATGAGGGTGAACCCCTTTCATACGGGTTTACCGCTAGCCGCGCAATCATCTTCGATTCCTAGAGGGATATTAGATTACGGATTACGAACTGGCACGGATTGGTTCCGATTTATGGAGCAGCAAGAAGGATGAGTAAGTAACAATGAACACACACCTCCAAAGCGATGCCAACATACAGTACAAGTATTTCCCCAGGAAATAGTCTGGTGTTTTTCACCTCTCGTCATTGTGAAATGTCTATACACCTGGATCCAGGGAGCAGACAGACAAAAGGGTCTTGTCGTAGCACATGCTGCCCAATTCCTCTATTTGAAAATGTAATCGATAACCACGAGCTCCACGCTGCTCTTTTATTTGAGGAAGTGAAGGAAAATGTTTAACTCCAGGAATAAGACCCTCAGTCTTAGTAAACTTTTGTTCCTCGAAAAGGATTTAATTCTGGTCCTGCACGACGGTCAAGCTAGTGCAATTAAACCTTCACGTTTGTTGATGATGAGAGATAATCATACCGAACGCTGAAGTTGGTGTGAACTACATTGGTGTGAACTATCACCTGAGCCAGTGATAGTGGATGTACTGTTCCGCTGCCTCATAACCAACTCGTGAATATCTAGTTGAAAACTAAAAAAAGTCAAACAATCTGAGGTTCTGCGCGTCAGATTTGGTGCGTTCTATCTGTAATAATTAATCTTCTTCGGAAGCTGGTGTGCTTTGGTCCGTTCATGAGATTCATCATTCCTCTGAGTACTACAATCTCAGCACCGCTCTTCGTTTGTCAATAAATCAGGTTTTTTAGTACTATTGAAAAAATTCTGATGACCCACTTATTTTCACATGAAAAAGTAGTACGTTCAAATGTGCCCTTCAGACGTTGAATACCGAATAATTTTCTCTCCTGATGTGAAATGAGCGGAAGTCGAGGCATAAGTTTCCGATAACTTCGAGTGAGTACTTGCTGAACAATCCGGTTTCGTAAAAAAAGCGGGTTAATCTGCACAGCATCCCATAGCTCCCTTAACCTCGGAATCCTCAGGCAAGTGACAAAAAATTGTACGTTTGCTGATTCAGATCTGAACTTCGCCGGTTCATGGATATCGCTTGAACAGCCAGGCAGTCGCTGCTGTGCTTTCTGTTGTGTGAATTGAAATGCCGAAAGAGAACGCAGACCACACGACATCGGCCATGGATGGTCATAGGTGCATTGTCACCACCGCGCTATGCATCCGACCCCACGCAGACTTCTTGGAAAGCAACATCTGGACAGATTTATCAGTGCATGTAGATGTAATCCCAGTGTTTTGTAAGTTCCGAGCGATAAGTATGTTTCTTTTCTTAATTAATTTATGACGTTTTGCAAGTGGCCACTATACTTCTTGTCACCGCACGTTCCCATATTTAAGCTTGCAGCTTGCCTCGGCCCTCAAGTGTCTAATCGAATGCTTTTCACAATGACACACACACAAGATGCTTTCACAGCAAGCTCCATGAATAAAGCTTTCATAAATCAGCGACTGTACAACATCTAAGTATCGCTGCTCTCCTCACATCTAAAAAAGCCCTGAGCCTATGACTGCCCCCCTCCTCTTCCACAACACCTCTAGCGGTCAAACAAGACCGCTCATTGAGATGGATTTTTCTACGCATGACAAGCCCTAGTATTCGACTTTGAACTCTACACTTTGCTTTCAACGTGCAGGACTTCATATGTAGAAACCACTACATACAAATTCCTCGAGCTGTTAACTGGACATTTTCACTTTGAAAGCAAAAACTTCGACATTCCCAGGCTTTTCAGCACGGTGCGGAAGAAGAAGGAACGCGTCATCTGGTCAAATCGGTCACTAGGTTCAACATTAGGATTTCCTATTCCGATTCTGTGTGTTGGTTTTTCTGTTTGAGAGTTCGGTATCATCTGAAGAGCCACCTCCAGAGTCCGGTTCAGATATGGCGTGGATAGTTCATAGGTAAAGATGTTTTACGACACATCAAGAAAACTATGCAAGTAAGCCTGCCCACAGTGGGCGTGGCTTGAGCTCGAAATAAACGATATTGGGTGAAGGCCGCCAGAGAAGGACGGACGAATCAGTTGTCGTCAGCCAGTTCGGATAAACCTCCTTCCACATTACCTCATGCAAAAGGCATTTTGAAAAGTTGCTGCTCGACCGTATGAGGTCCACTCATGACAATGAGTCAAAAAAATTGTGAAGGCTAGTGAAAACGAAATGCAATTCAGTAGTTCGTGGTCCAAAATCTAAGGTGAATCCGATGAAGTACTATTCTGGCGCAGTAAGAGAGTGTAAGCAAACGAGTCGCTCACTATAGGGAGAACCCTCCTATCTTTATATGGCACCTTTCTCACTCCGGGTCTCCTTCTAGTTGCCGACGGTTTGTGTGAAGCTAGCGTGAGAAGAGAGAGAGAGAGGAGAAGGTCAGAGTACGATATGCATGACTCATCTCACTGGCAATACTTAAGGTTTGCGCTGAACGTCGACGAGAGAGATCTGCTGACTGCCACCCGAGGACTGCTTCTGCCTGCTCCCGCGTCGCCTCTGGGCTCGCCGACTTCTTGCCACGCTGTGGACCATCATCCGTATCAACTACTTCGACTACACCGGATCCCTATTCCACCTTGATCGCCTTATTGTTCTAAGAAATCTGATTCGCTAGTCAACTGTACTGAAGGCAACACTCAGGGATTCACGAGCGGTAAGTCGCACCTATTACTGGTAGCAGCGAGTGTCGACCGAGGAGCAGGTGAGTCCACTTTTGGCCCTGTTCGGCCTTCTCGAGGAAATGAGCATGATCACCTCATTTTTGCTCGGGGTAATCCTCTACGGGGGACACGGAACTTTCATTTCGGCAGTTTTCACTACGCTTTTGCTAGAAAGTATTTAGGTTTCAGTTGCTTGTGCTTGTCTTTTTTACATTGAGGTAGGCTGGGAAATATCGTGTCATTCGGCGTAAGGATGACTAGCGTAGATCAAATCGATTCTTGACTTACACATTTGAATGTGGGATGACTCCGCTCCTTTCGTCTTTCCCATGGAATTCTTTCCTTGTTCTTTTTTTTGAGCGTTACGCTAGTTTGACAGTCCGACTTTGTGCTCTGTTTTCCCGACCGAAGGGCATGGCTCATGCACTTCTTTCTTCGAGACAGCTTTTCTCCTTCTGGAATCGTGAGCCATGTCGCCCTTCTCATGCCCGTTTCTCTTTGTTCATGTCCTTTCTTTGTTTTACTCGAGATGGGAACTGCGCAGCTCTTGTTGAAAATTTCAAAAACAGTTACTGTAGCCGTCCAACGCATGAGAACTTTTGAATTTGAAGTTGCCCCGGGGTCTGATGGGTCTTCAACGAGAGTATTTGATCACAGTTGAAGTTGGTCATGAGGACGTCCGCGTCGTTCTGTTTACGAAATTATCTTCACTTCGTTGAAGAGTCTTTCGATGAATGACGTTGAGGTTCGACGAATAGTAAATTGAGTAACTCCGCAGTAAGTCAAGTTGCGCACTCAGGTAATGAAGAAGGGTACCCCGGTATTTGCCGTTTTGAGGAGAGAGAATAGAGAAAATGACCCGTTTGCGTAGAAATTTGTTTCAGCTGACACTATTTCGCTTACTCTCTTTTGCTTTTTATGCTCATGTACATTCCGCACGTTATTTGCCGCTCTTGCATAAACTGTATTGTTTAATCGACCTTGATCGATAGCTGCTGCTGAGTTGATATTCGCCTAGGTTTCTCACGTAAGGACACTCGCCGCACGCCAGTAGCGAGTTGCCGCCTAACGCGACCGCGACCTACACAGGTTTCGCGCCCCTTCCGGTTTTGGTCCCACTAACCACCGAGGGTGCGAAGATGACCCCGTTCTCCACGTTTAACCCCGTGGGTTGAGGAATCTCGCGCGGTTTCTAACCGCAAACCCGGGTGGCGGTAGTAGCCAGGCGATAAACTTCCTGGCGACTCATCAATTTTACTGACCGCCCGCCGGTATCGATGAGTCATTGGCGGCTCGTCAATCAGCCGCCGAAGAGCTATAGTATGCCGCGCTTCCCGCCGTTCTCCCAAACATTTCTGAAAGCCTTTGCCTATGTTTCTCGTTTCTTCGGATTTTCGCATCATCGCACCAAATGCTACAGTACTCGCTTGCGCTTGGACTTTAAGAACGGTTCCCCTCCTGGCCTGCCTCTGCCCTCGGGTTACTGCACTGACACTCCCCCTCCTCTCTATATAAGGAGGCATGTGGTCCTTGCCTCACCTTTGCAACTGTTCGTCTGTATCGTCTTTCTTCGCTATGCCGACTACCCGAAGTGGGGCGACATCAGGGTCTCCTCCATCGACTGGTGCTGCTGCTCCTAGCGTGTGGTCACTGAGGATTATGCGGTAACCGAGCTGCTGCTCCTTCCACTGAGCCTTTACCGCCTGTACCTGGCACTCTCCCTGCGCCTTTGGATGACTCCCTTTCCAGGATGGAGGATGCTGAGATTGTTCACGCGAGGGATGCCAAGGCCCTACGGGATGCTGCTTCAATAGCTATTACTCAGGTTTGGAGAGATGCTCGGTCTCAGAGGTCAGCCCTGGCACAGAAATTAATGAAGGTAACACTTCATTGTCTCGTAAGTTGAATGAGTCCCGGTCGGTAGCCGTCTTGATTCTCTTCGACAGTTGCCA